GCCTATCCAGAAAAGCAAAGAGTACTTAGTGTCCCCAAAACCCCAAAACCCCATAAGGTAGACTAGAGGAAATATGATAATTTTTTGGTGCGAAGGTTAATAAATTAAGTTTTTAAATATGACGTCAAGTACTTAATTTAATGATTAAACCATGACCACAGTGCGATCACGATTAGACCAAACAGCAAATTCCGTCATATCATTGTAGACTTATATTCATTTTTCAATAGGTCATAACTTTTTGGAGATATTGCTCAATGTCAACGAGTTTCTCGTTTCTATCTTGAGCGATGTCGTCTTGTCTATAGAGTTGAGCTTTTTCAACTTGATTCTTAATTCTTTTCACTATCAAATATGCGATCATTCCAATGGCAGCAACAGTGGATAGGATAAGGGTAATCATTAAAGTCATATCTTCTGAAACTGACTCTTCAATGAGGCCTGAATCGACAAGAACTTGTTAAGCCCATTCATCTTCTCTATCCTCTTCAACTTCAACTGGTCTCACAATAACCTCAAGTCCGAGTTGTTCAGCAATTTTGTTTTCTTCGAGGTCGACTTGTCTAAATACGTCATCAGTTAATTCTTCCAATTACTCAATGAGTCTTTCAGCTTTAACTTTGTATTTGTCAGCTTTCTTTTGGTTTTTGGTTGAAGTTTCGTTTATTGCTTTGAGGAGTTTCTTTTGAATCTTTGGAAGTTCTTTTTTAACTTAAGCGATAGCTTGGTTGAATTCTTTGACAGCTTGAGCCTCAGCTTGTGGGAGTTGGGCAACAACTTAGTCGACAACCTGGTCGAGCTTAGCTTCGAATTGATCTTGAACTTACGGTAGCTTCTCCTAGACTGTTTTGACGACTTAGTCTACTTCGGCAACAACTTGCTACTCAACTTGGGGAAGTTGGGCGACAACTTGATCGGTGGTGTTCTCAACGGTGGCGACAACAAACTTTTGCAAATATGGGATTTCACGGTTGATCTTTTCCACAGTTTGGTTCACTTTTTGTTCAGTTTGACGTTGGAGTTTTTGTCTCTTATTGTTGAGTATCTCTGATTGTGTGTCAAGTTCTTCATAAACAGTTTCAAGGAGTTCATAAGTTCTTTCTTCAACTTGATCTCTAATTTGTCTAGATTGATTTCTGTATTAAATGACAAAGTCTCTTTCCTACTCAGTGAGGTTGACTTAGGCTAATGATAAAGACCTATTAATATATCTTTAAAAAAGGTTAGAATCTTACATTAGTTGAGATCCACACAAATATTCACATTATTCACGTCCCATACCATAATATTTAATGCAGTCATCCTCGCATGACTAAGCAAGAGTCAGAGTTGGAATTGTAACAAGCAGAGTTGCAATAGATATCTTAATTAAAGTTGATGATCTCATTTTAAAAATTATACTTTCAATCTTATTACTACTGAATATAACATATAACTTTAAATTGAGATAATAGTTAAACTATCTTTACCATATTATTTTTGAATAAACTGATCATATCATTTCACTCACTTCATATTCTTGGGGTTTTGGGGTTTTGGGGTTTTGGGGTTTTGGGG